CAGTGTGAACCAGTGCGAGATGGTGTGTGAGCCAGTGTGAGACGGTTAGAGCCAGTGTGAACCAGTGCGAGATGGTGTGTGAGCCAGTGTGAGACGGTTAGAGCCAGTGTGAACCAGTGCGAGATGGTGTGTGAGCCAGTGTGAGATAGCGTGCAAGCCAGTGTGATATGGTGTGAGCCAGTGTGAACCAGTGTGATATGGTGTGAGCCAGTATGAGACAGTGCGAGACAGTATGAGTCAGTGTGAGACATTGCGAGACATTGCGAGACGGCCGTGTCTGCACACACAGGACGCTGGGCATGGACCTGCTGACGGCGACCGAACCGAAGCGGCCGCTGCGACCGACGCGGAAGGAGCGCAAGAAGGTCACAGCCCAGAACCTCACCGGCACCGAGGTCAAGCTGCTCATCAACATCGTGCGCGCGTTCGACGTTCCCGTCCGCAAGTCCGAGCAGACGCCACCAGGGTGCGTACCGCGTCGCCGCGTGCGTCGCCGCGTAGATGCTACGAAATGCGTGATGCGAAATGATCGGCTTACCGTTACGATAATAATAACAATGACAGTACGACCTCCTTTATCTGGCCATCCGTTATCCGGAAATCTCTATTAACCGGCCACGATCTCGCAGTGTATGTTCTTTGTTTTTTCATTCATTTCCACCTAAAAATCTCGCTCAAAGCTCTCAAAACTCGCGCGATGTACACATTGATTATCGTAAGAGCGCACAGCTATCACATGCACAAAACAAACACACTTACCCAAGAGCAAACGCCCATGTACATGTACATTTACATTTACATGCACATGTAATATTTCACGTATACATACTCACTTGTTGATGCTGTAAAAACTACCAAGGAATAAAAGGTATATACATTGTATACTATATGAATGAACAAACATTTGTGGGTGTGCATGCGTGCGTGCGTGTGTGTGTTGTCCGCTATGCCTCCGGGCAACTTTCGTCCGTTAACGAACAACTTTTACTAGCGGACGTTAGCGAAACTCGCTACCTCGCTACGCACTCGCAATCGATCGAGCCCCGTACTTCAATCAAAGGCCCCGCTGCCGCGCACATGTAACAGTCCTAGGCATACAACGTCGCGAGTGTATCGATCGTTACAGCCCTAGATCTCAGCACAAAGAAACAAACATAAACCGAAGTGTTGTTTGGGATGGGATGGCATGGCATGCAATGGCATGGGATGGGATGGCATGGGATGGGATGCCGTGCGATGGGATGGGATGGGATCGCATGGCATGGCATGGCATGGGATGGCATGGGATGCGATGAGATGGGATGGGATGGGATGGGATGGGATGGGATGCGGTGCGATGGGATGGGATGGGATCGCATGGCATGGCATGGCATGGGATGGCATGGGATGCGATGAGATGGGATGGGATGGGATGGGATGCGGTGCGATGGGATGGGATGGGATGCGGTGCGATGGGATGGGATGGCATGGGATGGCATGGGATGGATGGATGGATGCATGGATGGATGCATGGATAGATAGATAGTTAGATTTTTTTGGGTATTTTCCTTTCAACCAAGCGGTA